CGATTAAAAATAAAATAAAATAAATGCGTCGTGCGAGATTTGGTTGATTTGGAAAATAAAATTGCTAAATAACGAATAAATAAAGATTTGGTTTCTCTCTAATTAACGACGAAGGGAACAATGATTGATTCCGGGATAACTAGATTTCTGGCAGATCAGGCCTAATTACATGAAATTAATTTAATTGAGCCTAGTTAATCATTACTAAGTTCTTACCGTTCTCGCGGCGTAGAGTACAATAATTTAGGGGACCAGGCTGATCTCTCATGCGACATGATTCTAAACTATTGCCAAGACGAGCGAGCTTACGACCCCTTAATCGTTACTAATCTCTTAGCGAACGATTAAGTGTGTGTGAATGTGTCCTAGAATAAACTAGATCTCTCTTAATTTATTCTACAATCAATTGTAATTCTAGCAGCCGTTCTAGGTTACAAGAGATATCAGTTAAATTTTTCAAACAAAAATTAAACGACATTCATACAATTAAACCATCAAGAATCTAGCCATACATCATGATTAACCCCTTCATCAATGCCAAATCCCTAATTAAACTACTCACAATTCATAATTGAAGAATCAATAGAATTGGGCTGAATAGAATTAATTGTCATTAATTAAAAATATGGAACTTACAAAGAATCCCAAAACAATTATGAACAAGGCTGAAAAGGTCTCTAAATTTCGTGCTAGGCACTCTCTCTAAGCTCCTCTCGAAAACGGGGGTTTACAGGCTGTTTAAATAGAAAAAGCGGAATAATTCTGAGCGAAATAGGACAATGGAGCGCACACACGGTACCAACGCACGCGTGCGTCCCCCTGTTTTTCCGACGCAGTATTCGCACTAAAACGTGCCACGCACGGCGTGCGTTCCCCCATGCACGGACGTGCGTGGCTGGCAGTAACTCCTCGTCTCTTCCTTCTACACGCACGGCGTGCCTAACTTCGGGCGCACGGCGTGCACTCTTCATTTATGAATTTAACAATGCTTCCTTCATGACAATTGTAGATAATGAATTCTTGTATCCACCATAACTTGCAAAACTGGATTTGAATCATCCAATAAAAAGATATGAATAACATGGTGGAAGGTCGCACTCTGAAATCGCAACAGCGATCATCTGATTTCTTCGTCTGTTTTCACCTTCGTGCTCTCAGATTTTTGCAATGGTGTCGTCATATGATTTGTAGCCCTTGAAGTTGGCTTTGATATGGATCTTGTATCGTATTCTTTGGATGCTTCTACAAAAAGATATGATTGAACGATTGACAGAAGGTCATCCTGAGTGCCACTTTCAAGCTCTATACTTCTTCTTTTGATCCCGTAACCGATTCTAGAGCTCTTTTGTCTTCAAATCTTCAACGTAAACCTCCCGGCGACCTCCAAAGATCTCAAATCAATCTCTAATGCTTCTCAACTCACCCCGATTGTTTCTCAAGCGCCGGTGTCGGGCTCAAATTCCCTGATTTTGACTCCAAAAGATATAAAACTCGGACCAACGCCTGGTAACATAACTTGAGCTAAAATTGAGACTTATAACACCTTAAATCTAGGAAAATTATCACAAGTCGATCCCAACACGCATCAAATGCGTGTCTAAATACGAACTTATCAAATTCCCCCACACTTAAGCCTTTGCTTGTCCTCAAGCAAACCGAACAACGGTACTTACGATAATCACCACACGAAATTAAAACAATTAGCACGCACAGGTAGTTAAAGGGATATTCACAGAATAGATAGAGTAAACCAAGAAAATTCGTCCATAAACTACATCTTTGTACTCTGGCTAAAATCAATGACTAAATTAATCACAACGTCCTCAAAATTATGGCATCACACACTAATAAACTAGCTACTGGTCAGAAGGACTTGTGAAGGCGGTGGTGAATTGTGAATAATAAATAGTCCCTTTCTATGAGAGTTTTGGAATAATCTGACAAAAACTTAATGCGTTCAAGAACTTCAGGGCTATTTTTCGGATCAAGGAGTTCAGTATGACACAAATTAGGAACTATCATTTAAACTTATGCAAAGAGTAGACATGATGTACATCTAAGCTAAACCATCATTGGACATTGGTGCCTTGACGTATACTTGAAGTACGTGAAGGACTAATGCTAATTTTGCGATAGCCTTCAAGTTCAATTAATTAAGATCAGTTTTCCTTATCATGTTGGCACGAGAACGTCATTTCTTTCGAAAGATACCCAAGTCTCATCTTATTGTGGAGAACACTTACGCTTTTTGACCGTGGCTCCCATTCTCTTTTTCGTAAGGTAGGTCTAGTTGATTTAATTAATTTTTTCAATTTTCAGATTTTCACTAGACATTACCCCATTCTAATCTCGACCTCACCAAGGAATATTAGCAATTAATGTTCAATTAATCAAGATGAATCCATGCCTACAATGCAATCCTCGAAAATATCAAATTCCTAAAAAGTGACTGCTCTTACCCCACTTGGGGCATAGGAACACTGCCAAAATTGGCTTCTACAAAAATTCCCTAGACTTATCAAATTAATCCCCTAGTTCCCTAAACATCAAAACCTTGTCAGAATTATTCACGGGTAAGGAAACACAAGCCATTTGGGCTATGGAGCTCAATTAATTGGGTAAAGAATAAACAGTCAAGCTCAAAATGGCTTCTCCTAAAGGACTTATTCAGGTAGGGTGGATGATTTATGAATTCAACGGGTGACTAATGCCTTCATCGTCTCAATAACTAGCTCATCGTGCAACAATTTCAGCCTAAACACATTGAGGATGTTCTAAAAAACGCAATCAATTCTCTAGCCAGTTTCACAAAGACACAGTTTAAAGAAAAATTTTCAAAAATTTTGATATGACTTCCCTATGAATATACCACTAACGCCAAAAACTGATGTGAGCTTTCTCGCACTTAAAATAGATTGTAATATAGTGGTGTAAGTACGAGTATCTTCTCCACAGGGACGGACAAAAGGGAATTAAGAATTAAATAAATTCAGCGATTAAAAACAAAATAAAATAAATGCGTCGTGCGAGATTTGGTTGATTTGGAAAATAAAATTGCTAAATAACGAATAAATAAAGATTTGGTTTCTCTCTAATTAACGACGAAGGGAACAAGGATTGATTCCGGGGTAACCAGATTTCTGGCAGATCAGGCCTAATTACATGAAATTAATTTAATTGAGCCTAGCTAATAATTACTAAGTTCTTACCGCTCTCGCGGCGTAGAGTACAATAATTTAGAGGACCTGGCTGATCTCTCATGCGACATGATTCTAAACTTTTGCCAAGACGAGCGAGCTTACGACCCCTTAATCGTTACTAATCTCTTTGCGAACGATTAAGTGTGTGTGAATGTGTCCTAGAATAAACTAGTTCTCTCTTAATTTATTCTACAACCAATTGTAATTCTAGCGGCCGTTCTAGGTTACAAGAGATATCGGTTAAATTATTCAAACAAAAATTAAACGGCATTCATACAATTAAACCATCAAGAATCTAGCCATACATCATGATTAACCCCTTCATCAATCCCAAATCCATAATTAAACTACTCACAATTCATAATTGAAGAATCGACAGAATTGGGCTGAATAGAATTAATTGTCATTAATTAAAAAGATGGAACTTACAAAGAATCCCAAGATATTGATGAACAAGGCTGAAAAGCTCTCTAAATTTTGTGCTAGGCACTCTCTCTAAGCTCCCCTCGAAAATGGGGGTTTAAGGCTGTTTAAATAGAAAAAAAGGAGCAATTCTGACCGAAATAGGACATCGGGAGCGCACGCAAGGCACCCACGCACGGCGTGCGTCGCCCTGTGCGTCTGACGCAGTATTCGCGCAAAAATGTGCCATGCACGGCCGTGCGTGGCTGGCAGTAACTCCTCGCCTCTTCCTTCTACACGCATGCGTGCCTAACTTCGGGCGCACGGCGTGCGCTCTTCACTTCCGAATTTGACAATGCTTCCTTCATGAAAGTTGTAGACAATTAAGTCCTCCCTATCCACCAAAACTTTTAAAAATGGATTTGAATCATCCAATAGAAAGATATGAATAACATGGTGGAAGGTCGCACTCTGAAATCGCAACAACGATCATCTCACTTCTTTGTCTGTTTTGACCTTCTTCCTCTACGATTTTAGCAATGGTGTCTTCATATGATTTGTAGCCCTTTAAGTTGGATTTAATATGGAACTTGAATCGTGTTCTTTGGATGCTTTTACAAAAAAATATGATTGAACGATTGACAGAAGGTCATTCTGAGCGCCGCTTTCAAGCTCTATACGTCTTCTTTTGATCCCGTAACCGATTCTAGAGCTCTTTTGTCTTCAAATCTTCAACGCAAACCTCCCGGCGACCTCCAAAGATCTCAAATCAATCTCTAATGCTTCTCAACTCATCCCTATTTCTTCTCAAGCACCGGTGTCGGGCTCAAATTCCCTGATTTTGACTCCAAAAGGCATAAAACTCGGATCAACACCTGGTAACATAACTTGAGCTAAAATTGAGACTTGTAACACCTTAAAGCTAGGAAAACCATCACAAGTCGATCCCAACACGCATCAAATGCGTGTCTAAATACGGACTTATCATGAGTCATTGCCTTATATCAGCACGACAACACCCATCTGGTCTTTTGCAACCACTCACCATTCCAGAATGGAAGTGGGAGTGAGTGATCGTGGATTTTGTGGTAGGGTTACCATGGAAGCGATTTGGGTGGTGGTGGATAGGTTGACCAAGAGTGCACATTTCTTGTCTATCAACACGACCTACTTATTAGAAAGGCTAACCAAATTTTACACGGATGATATTGTGAGGTTGCATGAAGTTCCGGTGACTACTGTATCGAACAGAGACCAATGGTCCACATCACGTTTATGGACGAAGTTTCAGAAACCCATGGGGATTGAGTTGGAGTTTAATACGACATTCCATCCGTAGAGGGACGGACAATCCGAGTAGATGATTCAAAATTTTGAGGACATGCTTACAACGTGTGCCTTGGAGTTCCAAAAGAGGTTAGACAAGCATCTAGCATTGGTAAAGATTGCTTATAACAACAGTTATCAAGCCAACATCGACATGCCTCCATACAAAGCGTTGTATGGGAGGATGTGCAAGACGTTGTTGTGTTGGGACGAGGTTGGTGAAGTCAAACTTGAGGGCGCTGAAATTGTGAAAATCATGAGGAACAAAGTGAAAACTATCTAAGATACACTCAAGGTTGCTCAGGATCGGCAGAAGAGTTATGATGATAAATGCTAGAGGGCGTTCGAGTTTGAAGTTGGGGATGAGGTATTCCTGAGGGTGTCGCCTTGAAAGAGGATAATCTGATTCCTTAGCCAAGGTAAGTTCAACCCGCAGACCGCAATACATAGGTCCGTTTAAGATCCTTGAAAGGATTGGGGTCGTGATGTATTGACTTCAATTGACTTCAGACCTAGAGAAGATCCATGAATGCCTCCCACATACGCCTCCTCTTCTATTCGCCTTCCAGCCGAGCGCCTACATTTCTTTCATAGTCTCAGAATCTTCTCCACGCTCTGCTAAGATAGGAACCATCGATCGCTTAATACTTGCCTCTCCCTCTTCCGCCTGGCTTCCAATTTGACCTCCATGACCACTTATACTTGTATCACTGGCCTTTGCAGCTAGATTCCTCCCATGAGTTCCACCCCCTTCAAAATTGACCACATATTACCTCCACTTGATCAACCTCTACCACTTCCAAGTTCCAACCATCATTCAAGGAAAAAAGTCAAAAATGCCCTTCTACTATTTTCAATCGTCATTTAAACCCTTGTACACGTCATTTAAACCCTTGTACTGAAAAAATATCATATAAGTAGGTCTATTTTTAAAATACAATCAACCAAGCCATTTGATCTGCAATAGCAGGTTATTTTTTTTAAATTAAATTAGGAATATTGATAAATCTTACAAAAATTCCTATAAATTTGAATAAATAATCTAATAATATAAAAACAGTATAAATGTAAAAGTAGATTTTAAAAAATAAAAACATAAAACTGAAAAAATATAGTGAAAGTAAAAAAATGAAAAACCTTTTAAATAGATGTAGAATATACAAATGTTTTTAAAAATTAAAAAATATTGACATTGATATTCTGAAAAACTTTCACAATTTTTGTATATATTTCTTCAAATTTTAACAATTTTTTATCATTTTTAAATATTAAAAATTTGCTATTACAGGTCAAAACTGATTAAATGGTCAAATTGATTAATTTTGTAAAGTAGACGTACTTATATGATACTTTTTTAGTACACGTTCTTAAGTGACGAATTGAAAATAGTAGAATGACTTATTTGACTCATTTTCCCTCATTCAATGTCATATGGCTTATCCATGTTCTTTTCGAATTAGGGGGACATGTCCAACAAACTACAAACAAAACAAAAGCTAGAAAGTTTTTCATATTTAAAATGATTATTAGGTTATTTTATCTCAAACTATCATCGAATTCATAAATCTATCTCATTTTTTCACTTTTATAAAAAAAAGACGCAAACTTAATCTTTTTCAACAATTATGCTTTTCTTTTTTGTTTTTTTTCAAAATTACACACTTTTATCAATACCAATATGAAATAAGTAATACAAGTTTCTAAACTAAAATTAGAAAGAAATGAAAAGAAGTGAAATATAATTATGATTTTCTTCTTATGTTTTACTAATTCATTCATGAAAAGTGGTAATTATGAAAGAAGTTGAACTGTTGAAGTTTGAGTCTTTTAAGAACGTGAAAAAATCAGTGAAAAAATCAATCTAGTCGACCACTTAGGCGTTAGGTGCCCCTCAACCGCCCGACTAACGCCTAGCGAGTTTTAGAACAATAGTCTTTTTTAATAAAAGTGAAAGTGCGAAATAAATTTGTGAATTTAATGATAGTTGAGAATATATTTAGCTAATAATCCTATTTTAGAGGATCCCAATATCTAGTCAAACCATAATCCTTAAAAATGCCATTCACGTTGCACCAAACGGATTATCATCAACTTTAAGAAAATTTCATATAAAATTTCAAATTCCCTGTACTACTTTTAGGTCAGACACCATTGGCAGATTATGGGCTTGTACACAAAAATTCTGAAAAGATCAGCTGAACTTTACTCATACAATCATACTAGGTCAGTTTTTTTATAAACTCAAAAGAATGTCATATTTTTATTTTGTATGTTCATAAAAAGTGTAATAAAAGCCAAATTAATGGTAAAACCCATTCCAGCCCAATTATGAAGTTCAAGACGCTACTTATTCATATTACTCTGCTCATAAACAGAATATGCAAAATAGGGCTATTACCAAAGGGACTCGCTCTCTAAAATCAAATCTGTAGAATCCCAAATCCATTACAAGGCACACATAGCCCGCCACATTGGGAACTGAAAAAAGCATTTGTGACACAAGCTTTCGCATTACCATCTTGCACTTTTAGCAACAGCCAAAGTTAACACAGCAAAACAGCAAGATCACAATTATCTCTCAAGCCCCAGCTTAGAGGTTAACCAGGTACAAACTTCATCCATCTCCTCTGGGACAGTGTAGTGCCCAAGGCTGTCATCAATCAAAGAAAGCTTCTAAATGTGTAACAGATCTCACAAGTGCGATCAATCAACTGTATACAGACCGTACCTTTTGTATGATTTGAAAGTGACATCTTGAAACCCAGTTGCACTCAGAGTGTGTGATGACTTCTCACCATATGTGTAAGCAACTACATCATCTCCTGCATTAAGTTGCATGGATAAAGGTTACAACTAGTAGCAACTCTTAATGCCTGTATATTTTGGAACTCGGATATATTGTTTTCATTAATTATGAAGATCTCAAACCACTTCCCAATTCCCATAGATATATACCTTTGCCATGACATAGTAGGATAGGCAGTGAAGCGACACGTCTTGCAGCCTCTTCAATCCCTCCTAATTTGTTGCTTAGAGTCCTGCAAGAATAATATAGAGGCTATCAACAAAATAACATGTGAAATTATATATATATGTGTGTGTGGGTGGGTGGGTGGGTGTGTGTGAATGTATGTATATGAAAAAGTGCTTGTAAAATGGAGATACGGAGAAAGGTGCAAACTTGGCACAGGGAAGCCAGCCACTTAAGCCAACTACGGCACTTAAGTTGGAATTGAATGGGTTCCCATTCTCAAATTTCCCAACAGTGTAACATGTTGCGCAGTGAAGGGATATTGCGGCGCCCATGCTAAAGCCCCCAACAGCAAGTTTGACTGCAATGGCCAAAAAGAAAAAGATGAACTTAGTGTATGGCGGAATTCAACAACTAGGGCATACTAGGGATGCATCATGCTAGAGAGACGTTCCTATGTGAGACACTCATGGGGGTGATGATCCCATGTCTGATCAGTCATCACCCAATGAATGTGTGCCACATAGGAATGTCTCCATAGAATATCTACACTTAAATGTACCCCTAGCATTACTTGGTTAGGGAGGGGTGCAATTATGGCTAAGCTAATGTTTGTAATACCACTAACCCTGAAAGAGTTCAAAATGTACACATTAAAAAATTGGAGAGCGAAATGTGCTCCAAGTCGCTTCTTGAAGCGAAATATGCTTAATACTTTGAGAAAAAATAGCTTAAACCAATTAGGCACTATAACAAGAAAGTGGCTAGAACCGTATGAATAGGGAGTAAATGTCTGAATAACTCAGGATTAGATATAAAATAAGAAAAACATGTCTCTAAATCTAGTACCCTAGACAGAAAAACCAAACTCAATCAGAACGACAAATTCCAAACCATGAAAAAATTCGAAAAGAAAAAGAGAAACTGACCGTCAGGAGGCTCTGTTGCCAACAAGCTTGCCACATATGATGCTGAAATATCCAGGCCCTCTATATCATCAATTGCATCTTCGGAAAGTTCATTCACATCGAACCCTGTTTAAACCAAGATAAGCATTTGTTGATTAGTGATTTCAAATAGACAGGTTAAATGGTATATGTCACTTTCAATTCCAATATTTTCTCTCCTAACACATTTATAGCTGTATAACCACGGTTTAATAGCATGAAATAGCTTATACTAATGAAATGTAACACCAGGAATAGCAGAACAATTTACAAGCATTTGAAGGAAAGCCTCCAAATAAAGATATTGGTAGCTGAGGGGCTGTAGGACAGATCCACTTAATCTGCATAAAATTATTGAAATGGAAAAACAAAAATCAGAATGTCGAACTTTCCACCCATAGTGGTATATGTGAGTACATCTATGGCACAAATCCTTACGTTTGGAAGAGGGAGGGTATCCAAAAGACTGGACCAGCTGTCAAATATGAAAATAAAAGCAAATGATGTGATTAAGACAGCATTCATAATCAAGCCCAGGCAGTTTGGGTGGATGAAGAGGAAATTTAATGTCTAACTGACAAGTTCACAGCTGGGATACAGTATGTAGAGAACTTGACACAATACGGGGCCTTCTCCAGTTGGATGAAGATAGGAACTTAATTTGTATACCTTACACAAGAACTAGTAGAATTTATACTGATTTTGGAATTCAAGAGCGATAATATGGATTTGTTATCCTTCAAAACAAGATAAGAAGGTTCATACAAGATACATCCATTTACCATGGGACAATGAGCACAAGAGTCGTGGAAGAGTCACAAGCAGGGTATGCACACACAAGCTATAAGAATATCTCATTGACACCCACAAAAAGACAAAGGATGGGAGTACCTAGAACCATTATCTCCAAGTCCATGCAGCCAAACTACCGTTGCCTGGTGTTTACCTTTGGGTTTCACCACATAAGTCTTTCCAAAGTTGAAGGATCTTTGAACAGCTCTACCAGCTGTAGGGAGTTCAAAGTATAGTTCAGTAAATGATGAAATATGTATGAATACATCAATAATGTGCAAAAAATACAGAGATAAAGATGTTGAAGTCACTTCTTTTTATTAGGATCTCACTTACATTTACAGATTAACTAATTAGTATATTTTAATAGAATCTCATGTTACTAGTGACCACCAAATTCTCTAGCATTCACCATAGTAGAAAATAAGATGGAAATGTAGAGACTTTTCCTAATGTTTCACTTATATTTCTACCCCACCATGCCTCCTAGAATTAAGACAAACGGACAAGGACATATAGATGTTTTCCTTTTCCCTTTGAACAGGCATTTTTTTAATGCTATTGCCAAAGGGTAAGAAGTACCAGAAACAAAACATATGAAAAACCGGATCAAACATGCTAGACTTCTAAACTAATAACCAGTGAGACTAGTAATTATACATGATCCAGCTAAAGTTTCATCCGTGATTCTTGGCTAAAAATATGAAGTGAAATACCCATGATAATAAAACACTAACCAGAACCTATAGAAGGGCCGGCAAAATTCATATCCTCCAAATAAAACTGAGATAGGCTGATAAGGATGTTAGAACAATTGAATCTTCCACCTGCAGATAAAGAAAATTATGATTTACGAGCGAGATTGAAATACGGCCATTGACACCCTGTGAATTAAAAGCCTCTAAGTGTTGCTCAACTGCACAAAGTTGAGAGAAAAAAACAAAGCTACTCATTACTGGATCAATTGACAGAGTACCCAACCAGAAACTTATGCTGGACGGACTTTAGTATAAAACCATTACCCCAGTTTTGCACAGAAAGACTTCAAAAAAGAGTGCGAGGGGAGAAATATGAGGCTCAAAGTATCATGATTCATACCATTTACATATATTAGCAAAAATACCACAGAAATGAACCCTTACTAACATGAACACCCCCTCCACCACCACAATAGCCATGACGAACCTTTTCCGATTTTACGCCGATGCCTCGAACAAATCGTAGGTCATAGATTATGAATGAAGAGAAATAGGACAGGGTAAATGAATGTATTTACAGAGCAAGATTGCAAAGCGACAGCACTTTTAAGCTAGGAAGATCAGATAAAAAATCAATTTGGTTTGCTTTTGTTGGGTATCAACAATTGTTTGTTACCTCAAATTTATATGGGTTCTAGATACTGAAGACTTCTCTCTCGGTAGGAGTCCGACCCAGTTTGTGATGTCGTATCAGTATCACCCTCTCTACTCTCTCCGGTATAGCAACTGACTCCAAAGCACTCCGTTCCACCACTAACATTCCATTGTCGTCATCTTATCTGTGGTCCTCGCCATTGATCGAGACCGGTTGGTTTGGTACTTTGGCCACTTCGATGGAGGGAGGGAGTATGTGTTTCTTTTAGGGAAAAATAAATACTCCCTTCTTTTTTAGTTGATCGACAATATTTTTTTAAAAAAATAATTTTCATAAAATAGTAGCTTAAAATGTAATCAAAGTAGAGCACGTGAAAAGTGTAAAATTCAACATGTTCTGACTAAAACGGAACGGAGGATAGTATAAAAGAAGGAAGAATTCTCATAATTGAATTCCACTTAAATAAACTAGATCATATCAGACAAGACTTAAACAGATCAGAACAGACCAGACTTAAAAAGATCAGACCAAAACAAACTTGACTTCCGTATTTAATTTATAAAGTACAACGAGACCAGACATTTACCATATTAGACTTAAACAAACCAGATCAGATTAGACCGGACTTAAACATATCAGACCAGACCAGACTTAAAAAGACCAGACCAGATCAAACTTGACTTCCGTAGTTATAAATTACATATAGACCAAACGTTTAATAGACCAAATTAAACCAGATCAGACTTAAACAAACCAGACCAGATTTAAAAAGATCAGACCAGACCAACAAATTACGGTCCAAGTAAAAACATCCTTACGGGAATATGAGTAATAACCACCATACACGAGTGGGGTTTAGGGATAACTCCTATTTCATAGGCTAAAAAATTATTAGAAATAATTACATATTTATAACTCAAATAATTTGAGTTAAATAGAAAAATGATTGAGCATTAAGAATTTATTGAACAATAAAAAATCGAGCCTTATTATAATTCATTGATCGACCGTTGATAAAAATGATTGTACTAATGATATTTTTCCTAAACCATGAGAGATAGATAGAGGATTATGTTTATATTTACACAACAATAACAACATTCAATTTATAGTCCATGTTGGATTAATAGGCCCAATAGTGGATTGGCACATTACCACTTAGCAAGAAAATCATCAAGACCTATTTAGGGCACGATCCGACAATGGTATTGGTCGGGCGCACGTCCGGACACCTATATGCTCGGCCTCAGTGGTCTTGGCCCAACAAGGGGCAAATGACATTCCATGGTCTCCGGCAGGGCGACTCACAAGAGCCGAGCGGAGCCCCTGCCTTGTGCTCAGCCAGAACCAGGATCCAAGATTTGGGGGACGGTCATCCATACCCCTTAGCGGGAAACCAGTATTGACGGTAAATGCATTTAATGCAGTAGATTTGGTGGTTGAGAAGCTAGTCACTCACAATCTTCCACATCATCAGTATTACATACTCCTTCATAGTATAAATAGTAGCATTTGTTTCATTGTAAAGGCTTGACAGCTTATACCCCTTAGCAATATCAATTACCCCCCTCCTCTCAGCTAGATTAGACAATCGGCCCAGAGTGGTTTGTAGTAGATTGTGCTATAACAATCCTTATTCGGAGTAATACGACACGGCCCACTTACTAGATTAACTTATTGCTTGTCCATTATTCCTTGTGTTTACTCACCATTCATAATCCACCAAATACTCCACTCGAAATCCAAAAGAAAGTGTTGGGTCTTTGGGTTGAAGGATAAACCTCAATAGTCCCAAAAACTTTGACATCGACTAACATGAATCCACATATGATTCAAAGTTAAGAAAGATAAAATATAATAAAAACGATAAAAATGATAAAAAGATAAAAAAAGATAAGTTAAAATAAAGGGATCATTAATAGTTATAGATAAGGAGATTAGATAAATAGGATAAAATAAGTTCAAAAAATCAAGAATATAATAAAGAAAAAATTGAAAAAGAATCCTCCACATGAAAATTCTACACCCGCTTTGTTATTCGATAAGTCATCCTCTCATCTAACTCAAGAAAAGCATATCGCTCATGCCTCCTCTAATACACATTTGTTTGGGTCACTCTCTCTTTCTCTCTCATATCCACCTCTTCCCCCCACCTCTTAACTTGTCTAAGAGATGCATTATTTGATCTTCGAACACAAATAGAAATTACACTATTTATTTTTATTATCAACTATTCACGTAATTGTGTAAAATAAATTATTTCTTGCTAGATAATGTGACGAAAAGAATAACAAAAAAATTCAAGCTTTCATATAGCAATAACAGTAGTTCAATCTGCCCTAATTAAATTATAAAATCTAATACGCATATTACCTTATAACAATAGCTCAATTTGCCAAAAAAAAAACATATGAGATGTGGCCCAAGTTGGCACAGATGCATCAAATTTGTGTACCGAGTTCCGTGTCCAAATATCGTTATTTTTTGTAATGTTAGTAATATACGGAGTAGTATTAACTCCAAATAGTGATTATCACTTAATAATTTTTAAATTTTGCCCCAAATACGAAAGTATCTTGGATCCGCCACCGAGTTACCATGACACTAGTAACTATTAATCATATTTTTGTAAATATATTGTATTTTAGTAATAATATTTTTGGGGAAACCCTCAAATTAATATGTGTGTGAGAGGAAGGCCAAAAAACAAGCAACAAACTAGAAAAAAACTACTAGGTCATACATTACGAAATACATGATCTTTTAGTCATATGAAAAATAATTTTCTCTTTCTTTTATTTGTGTATCTTATCCATTATCCATTTATCCCTAATACTTTTCCTTTGTGTCAACTCCTATTTTAGTAAATATTCCAGTACGAAATACGGAGGAAATGTTTACCTTTTGTTGAGGTTTATGCCTTCAACTCCAAAGGCTCAACACCTTTCTTTGGGTTTCGCAGGGAATGAATTTAGTGGACTGAGTAAACTAAACAGCACAAGCAATAAATGACAAACAATAGAGTGCCTAGTAACTAGGCTGAGTTCTTATTACTTGAAATAACGAACTATTACAGTGCACCCTATTGTCAGACGAGGCCGAGCGTCTAATCTGAGCTGGGAATACAAGGGGATAATTGCTATAGCTAGTGAATACAAGTTGTCAACCCTTAATTATGAAATAAATGCTACTATTTATACTATCAAGGGGTAGGTGGTAGTGCACGTGGTGATGTGGCCCAAGTTGGCACAGATGCATCAAATTTGTGTACCGAGTTCCGTGTCCAAATATCGTTATTTTTTGTAATGTTAGTAATATACGGAGTAGTATTAACTCCAAATAGTGATTATCACTTAATAATTTTTAAATTTTGCCCCCAATACGAAAGTATCTTGGATCCGCCACCGAGTTACCATGACACTAGTAACTATTAATCATATTTTTGTAAATATATTGTATTTTAGTAATAATATTTTTGGGGAAACCCCCAAATTAATATGTGTGTGAGAGGAAGGCCAAAAAACAAGCAACAAACTAGAAAAAAACTACTAGGTCATACATTACGAAATACATGATATTTTAGTCATATGAAAAATAATTTTCTCTTTCTTTTATTTGTGTATCTTATCCATTATCCATTTATCCCTAATACTTTTCCTTTGTGTCAACTCCTATTTTAGTAAATATTCCAGTACGAAATACGGAGGAAATGTTTACCTTTTGTTGAGGTTTATGCCTTCAACTCCAAAGGCTCAACACCTTTCTTTGGGTTTCGCAGGGAATGAATTTAGTGGACTGAGTAAACTAAACAGCACAAGCAATAAATGGCAAACAATAGAGTGTCTAGTAACTAGGTTGAGTTCTTATTACTTGAGAATAACGAACTATTACAGTGCACCCTATTGTCAGACGAGGTCGAGCGTCTAATCTGAGCTGGGAATACAAGGGGATAATTGCTATAGCTAGTGAATACAAGTTGTCAACCCTTAATTATGAAATAAATGCTACTATTTATACTATCAAGGGGTAGGTGGTAGTGCACGTGGTGATGTGGAGGTTCTTGAGTGGCTAGCTTCCCAACCACCAAATCTACTGCATTAAATGTGTTTCCCGCGCGATATCTTGCTTTGTTTTTGGATAAAATGTGTGTGTGTGTGTATATATATATATATATATATATATATATATATATATATATATATATATATATATATATATATATATATATATATATATATATAAAATGTGTGTGTATATATATATATCCAGAAAAATAACAATACATATATATAAGCTAGAAGGCTAACCTAAAATAGAACCTACCGTCTCCCCCCCCCCCCCCCCCCCCCCCCCCCACCATGCGGCAGGGGTAAGGAGAGAGGATTTTTTGTAGTCCAAAAGACATCCCAAAAATATAATCCAAGAATGGTACGTGACAGTCCCCGACTCATTCGTCAAAAATACATCAAAACCCAAGTCCGAGCCAATGAAGGCCCATCATTGGGAAAATCCAGCAACAAGATCACCATCATCCAAGCTTCCTAGCTTCTGGGCCACCTAAGACCCGTCCGCCACTCAGCATCACAGAAACAACAGCTCAAGCGTGAGGCCCAGCACGTGAGTCCATTCCAGCGTCCAAGCAGCGAGTCCATTCTAGCGTCCAAGCAGCGGGCTAGGGTTGCAGCTCGTCCAAGCCAGGGCATCACTTCCGTCCAAGCGCCGCATAGATCCCAATGTGAAATTCGAAATTCAAAATGAATGGGGCTGGTCAGTCAAACGACAGGTTGGCAGTGCACCTGTCAGTCAGAGTCAACCCACCCCACCCCCACCCCCACCCCCAGCCTCCCTGATAGGCTCCGGTACCACCCGTCGGTCAGGCGGCCGGAGAATGAAACTCGTAACACAAACCGGAATACCCCTCTGTCTCAGCCCCCCCCACCTGGTCCGGCGACCCCAGGCTTTCTGGTGACCGGCAACCGGAGGCAAAACAACCAAAAACACAAACCAGAACAGTAACCAAAGCCAAACGACGATCCTCAACCCACTCCCCACCCCCGTTGAGCTCCGGCAACCCTCAACAACATTGGCAGACAACTTTTTGAGGCGGAGTGACAGTAGCCGGAAACCACAGTCAGAACAGAGCACAACGACAGGCGGTTCCAACTCCCCGTGGCCGGTCGTCTTCTCTGGCGAATCCCGTACGTCATCAAGCACCTTAACAAATCCAGACGGGACAGTCAAGTTGGAGCACCCTCATTCGCGATGGGATAAACTCCTACCTACTTCTCCGAACCAACACCAGCAGGAATTTCCCCCTTCCATCACATCTTCCATTGGACCCAGCATGAATGCTCTGCAACGACCACGAACCCAAGAGCCTAGCACTTCACCATCCAGGATTTCCGTTTCGCACCAGACCAGTAGCCATCACCTTTACGTCACTAACTCAAAAACCCTAGACCCCGGCCGCCATGAGTGATGGCGATGAATCCAGCACGGCCGGATTTCCTATGCAGCGGCGTACGAAGCTCAGTAGTTCCGGCGGTTCCAGCATCATCAAAACCAAATATCAAAACACCAACAAAGCACGAACATCCCACAAAAGTGGGAGATTTTCCATAAATTCGTATAGAACATCAAGAAACCCAGCCCACCGGAGCTAGGAGGGCCCCGGCGGCGGCCACCACCGTGAGTGGCGGCACCGAGACGAGCCGAGGGGAAGAGAGAGCAACCTAAGATCAGATTCCTAGTGAGAGACGCTCTCAACTCTCTCTCCGCCGATATCTTGCTTTCCCGCCAAGAGCTGTAGACGAGTGTCCCCTTGATCTCCTGGCTTGGGCCAAAGCAGGGGCAGAGCCATGATCTATTGGAAGGGAGCCGAAGTATTTATATGTTGACCACCCTTTGGTTTTAACAACGCATACCTCGTATTTGTTTTAGGTCTACACTTTACTGTTCAAACATATCTATTATCATGTAATATATTTTTTGCGATAATATAAATACATGTTTACACAACTAGAATAGGGTGGGCACTACTTGGTGATCAGGTAATTTTTAATTGACTATTAAAAATTTGGGAGATAATCAAAGTAATTTATACTGTTATATTAAAATAAAAAAAAAATAGGGAGGGCCTAAAAAATTTTACTAGATAAAATGACAAGGTTGGGAGGGGCCAAGGCCCCCCTTGACTTACACATACCTCTGTCCCTGGGTCAAAGTAAGCTCAAGGTTAGGCCCGTTGTTCGGGCGGCTATGCGGAACGCTCTCCCCGAGGCCTTTGGATCATCATCTGGCTCTATTCAGACGAGGACCCAAACGCCGAGCGTCTCCAAAGATAGGACGAGTGTCAGATAGGCCCCCTTGTTGGGCCGCTCCCAAGTTGGCCTTGATGATTTTCTTGCTAAGGGATAATGGGCCGCCCCTATGCCGGCATATTAACCCAACACCTTTGTATCAACATTTTTTAGTCTCAAAGTAATACTTTAAATATTAAAATACATTCTCCACCCTTTTTAAATGGTAAAATGGTTATTTAAAAATGTGCAGAACACAATGAATATACAAGTAGATAGATCTATTATTCGAAAGAGAGTTATGCATTGATAAAATAGCAAATTGATTTGTTAATCACAAGACGTGCAATAATAATAAATTTATAATGACCGAATTATTATTTATGTCCCTCAACTCACCTCAAACCTAGTCCCTAAACGCTACCCATAAAAAACATGGAAATAATGGCCTATTTATGACATATGACTTCAAATTCCAGAAATATAACATTTTTTTTCTTTTTCCAAAAATGTGACCCAGGCACAGCTTCATTCCGCACAGTTTCTCTCCGGACAGCTTCTCCCTCAAACTCTGCGTCTCGCTTCTCTTATTTCTGTCCGTCTTCATCGTCCCTACTCCAAGAATCCTGTGCGCTGCTCGAAGATGGCTCGAAGTCTGCCAGCATCTCCTTCTTCACCGTCTCCCTCGCCGTTGCTCGTCGCCTCTCCGCGCCTCCTCCTCTCCTTTCTTCTTGTCCGCATCTCTGTCTTTGCTCTCCCAGTCCAGCGACGAAGACCAGATCTCGTCCGTGCCAGAGACGAAAACCATATCCCGATGGTGGCTCCTCAGATCTACGCGATGTCTTGCAATGGTGAAGACGGCGATTTGAGGCGGAGCCTCGACACAACCTCCAGATCTGTTCCTAAAATGGCTAAGGTTTCGATTGCATTCCATGATTGATCGATTCCACAATTGTCAGCAGCCGCGATCCTGTCAGCGTCCTTCAATTTGGCGATGAAGACCAGATGTTGAGCTTGGTTGGTCATAGTTGAATGGTGGTGGAGTAATGGTTGACAGAGGAAGGGCTGGTGGTATTGCAGTGATAGAGGTTGTACAACGACCATGGTGGGGGAGGGGAGATAGTGGTCACCGGCCAGACGACGGTGGTCACCGGCCGGATGACGATCGTCACTGGCCATGTGTGGGCTGGGTGGACTGGTGGGGTTGGGGCTGACTGGTGCAGCACAACGGTGGCTGTGTTGGGGCAGAAGGGGGTTGGGGAGGTGGCTGGGGATGGGGAGTCAAGCCGGGGACGGGGCAGTGGTCCTTGGCGGCGTTCAGCAGTGATGGTTGGCGGCGATGCTAGGGCAGGGTGGCTAGGGGCGGGCTAAGCTAGATGTGAGGAAAAGGGGAGGGATGGGCTGTGACACTGGAGAGATGTGAGGAAAAGGGGTGGCTAGGGGCGCGGGCTAAGCGAGACGCTTGTCACTGTGGCCGGAAACAGGTGTTATTGTGGCCGGAAACAGGTGTCATTGTGGCCAGAAACGGTTTGTCATTGTGGCTTGTGTCACTTTGGGCAGAGTCACTTTGACCGATGTCACTTTTGGTCGGAGTCACTGTGGCGGCGGCAGTCACTGACGAACCGGCGGCGGCAATCACTGGACGGGGCAGCAGCAAGGCGGCGGTCATTGATCCGGGCAGTAGCTACAGTAACTAATCAAGGTGTTGGAGGCGGTTGTGACTGCACGGACGGTCACTATTGGTCTAATTTCAGTCACTAAAATTGCTAGTCACCGCATCTCCTAGTCATATTTTTGGAATTGTGTTTATGTGATCACTTTTTTGTCTTTCAGCCTTTATTTAGTAACATTTATAAAACAACAAACTCCAAATACACAACACGATGGAGATCTAGTTAGAATAAAATTAAGAGAAAAAATAGAGAAAAAACAACGTCAAAATTAAAGTTGAGTCTTTGTCTCTTCAAGCTTATAGGCGAGCATGTAACCTAGATCCCACCTCAATCCCATTTTTGTCGCTTCCAACTAGGGGTGGGAAAATATACTGAAATTTCGGTATACCGGTCATATTGTACCGAAAAATACCGATTTTATCGAACTTTTTGGTATACTGAAAAATTCGGTACGGTATGATACCATATCGGGTCACTTCGGTACGGTAACAGTATGCACTTTTCAAATTTCCGGTATTTCGGTTTATACCGCAATACCGTTAATTTTCGGTATGGTACGGTATATCGAAATACCGAAATATTATTTGTAAATTATTAGGGCCAAACCCATTAAATGAAATTAGTAAAATATCACGGCCCAAAATTTAAAAACCCCATCTCAATACTACGGTCCATTCTCCCAAGTGGAGACCAAATTCCTAAATCAACGTATAGACTACTCAAAAACTCAAGAACGACGAAGTGCAGTGTTGCAGACCATTGAGTATTGAGGATGAAGCCGCGAACGACGAGGCTGTGGAAGACGAAGCTGCGGACAAGTGAAGGAGTAGTCAAGAGCGGACAAAGACTCCAAGCTAGAGCTACGAACGAGTGACGAAGACGTCATTGACGAAGTAAGGAGCAGCGAGAGACCTTCATTATTTACTAACCCCACTCAATCCCGGTAATATGAACAATTTGATATTTAAACAAATTAGCAAAGTAGACGGCCTTCATATTAGCAAAGTAGAAAACTCTGTTTTTCTTTTTCTCTACTCGTGAAAATAAAAAACTGATTAACTGAAGTGGACACTCAGGCAATTGAAAAGGGTCCTATAATTGGGTTGGCTCTTTCTGTCAAGCCATGACTGGCTGTGACTTCATTGTGGTTGGGTGTTAGGGGAATTTTTGGGTGGTAAATGTTTTGTTTTGGTGAGAAAATAAGTCTGGCCAAAGAACATTTATCCAATTAGTACCTATTTTGGATTTCAACCATATTAAATGTGCTTGTGAAGTTCTTATGGTTCTTACACTGGAGTACTGCAAAAAGTAATTTTCATTGACGGGTGGTTTTATCATTTTATGCCAGTGACTTCTCATGTTTGTAATACTAATTTTAGTATTGAAATAAGATTTGTTTTAGTTGTTTGGGATGGAGCTACTATTTCGCAGGATATAGGAAGAATGGAGATTTAGCAAGTCTGCAAACTCTATTTCACAAGACCACATCAGTGACACACCCATGGATATACCTTGGTTGATGCCTTATTAACCCAACCTGATTCATTCTTCTCATCCTTTCATTTTAATGATAATATTCTGATTGACCCCAAAAAAGAAACATATATAGCTGAATTTAAAATAAATCATAGAACAGTGGTGTTTTATTGATTTTTTTTTCATTTGTAGGAACGGAAGATGAATGGAGGAGTGAAGCTTTAGCCTACTTATCTTTTGGAGGTGCAACAAGCTGATAGAGTATATCTAGAGAGAAGTGAGAGCTAGAGAGAGAAGTGCAATAATATGCTTCAATAGAATGATTTGGTAACCCCTATAACTACTCCCAAAGGGAGTATTTATAGAGAAAATTAGGGCTGGGCTCCCAAGTCTTGGGCTTGGGAGGCCCATTTACAACTGGACCGCTACTGGGCCGAATACGAAGCCACTAATGGGCTGTACAAATGAGTAAGTATAAAATCTGATTCTGGGAGGTCTTCTTGGCCGACGAGGGCGTGGCCGACGAGGGCACGGCCGACGAGGGCACGGTCGACGAGGGCACCCGGGTTCCTTGGACTCAGGACCATAATCCGAGTTGGCCCCTTTTCGGCCGACGGGGGCGTCTTGGCCGACGAGGGCGCCACTCTGTTGTCTTGTGCTTTCTGTTCTTCCGAGTATGTGGGTCCGGGGGCTCAGACCCATATACTCCATCAGGAGTCCCCCACTCTCTAAGCTGAGACGTAGACGAAGTGAAGGAGAGTAGATTCCTGTGCTTTGTTGCCCTTGGCCGTTACCTGTTCCTCGTTGTGGACAGGGAGGCCGTTGTTTACTTGATGTCTTCGTTTTGGGACGATGAGTGTCCTTCTTTCAATGGTGGCCGTTGAAGGCACGTTTTGCTTGGGCGCTGATGGTTGAAGTTTGTGTTTGGGCCAATGAGGCCACTGAAGTTGGTCCTTGCTTCGAGGACGATGGCGTCTTTCCCTTTGGATGGCCGATGAGGGTGTTTGCGCACTCCTTTTGGCCGTCGTTGATTAGCTTTCATGTTTCTGGCCGAAGAGCCCCTCGTGATTAAATGATGGCGGAGGACGATGAGTGTCCTTGCCTTTGGTGGCCCGTTGGCCGTTGCAGATGACGTTGTGTGCCTTCGGTCGACGAGGTGCAGTGTGATGCGTGGCCGATGTGGCCATGCTCTGTGGTTACCTTGTTTGCATTTTCTTTTGTTTTGTTGAGGCCGGTGTAGTCCCCCAGTCCCCCACTGCTTCAGGCCGAGGAGTGTGAGGGGTGAAGGAGTTGCTTGAGTCCCTGGCCGAAGCGGCCTCCCCGTAGTCCCCCTGAATCCAACTCTCATGGCGATTTTCTGGCCAAGGTAACCCTGTGGGAGAACCCTTGTGCGCAGATCACTTGTAGAGAGTTATCATCAAAGATCATGACGAGGAGCCGATGGCTTGTGGGCTCTTGGGTCCTGTGATCTTGTGGCCGTTACGTTCCTGGCCGTTGCCGTCTCCTTATTGTTTGGCAGTTGTGATCTTGGCGAGCAAGTGGGACGTTGTGGGCGCTTGCTGACATTTTGTAAAGCCAGTGAGCGTGTGTAGGCCGTAGAGTCCGTCCTGCCAGTGGGCTGTTGATATTGAGTTTGGCCCGTGGTGACGTGGTGGCCCCCCATTGGTGGCCGTTGGTGTGGCCATTGGGGGGGTGCCACGTGTAGTGACCGTTGGGTGGGGGGTTCTATAAATACCCCTCCCCCTCCGACGAGAAAACGTATTTGCATTCTGAATTTGTCGAAGTGCTGGCCGATTTTCTAGAGAGATAAACTCCCAAGCCTGTTCTTCGTGTTCTTCGTTGTTCAAGGTTAGTGTTCATCGCGATCTTCCTCACTTTTCATACTTTGCTTCCTAGGTTGTTGATCTAGTGTTAGGCGTTTGAACACCCTTAGATCTTAAGTTAGTCTCCTTAGGCCCGTAGTAGTAGTTATGAAGAGCTTGAACGAAGACTACTACCCCTACGACGACCAGCCCTCCACGAGGTCGCTTGACTACGAGGTGCTCGAGGAGTTTGAAGAGGAGATAGAGCGTTTAAGTCCCTACAAATCCGGAGAGCCGGTGGACGAGGAAGGCGAGGACGAGGAGTCCGCCTCCTCTTCAAAGGGTGAGGACATAGGTGCGTCCCGAGTGGTGGACGGGGCGTCCACTTCTGCTGTCATTCCGTGCCCGAGGCCGGTGTCTGCCGTGAAGGGAGCAGCTAAGCCGAAGAGGGTGAGGAGGCCGAAGAATGGGCCGGGCCTCTCCTATCTGGACCTCACCAACATATTCCTGATCAAGCCGGAGAGCAGTGCGGCCGACTATCTTGTCGCCCAGATGTACGTGGGGCCGTTCGGGCGGGTTAGGGCACCCAGGCCGACGAACCATGTTCTACTTCCGCCACCGGGATACTTTGGAGTATACCCGATGAGTTTTGCTAAGGGGTTGAGGTTCCCCCTTCACCCTTTCATCATTGAGTATCTGGACATGGTGGGGCTTCCTCTGGCCTTGCTGACGCCGAACAGTTATTCCTTGATGGTGGGCTTTTTACTTCGGTGTGAGGAGCTGGGCTACAGGCCGACAACGGCCTTATTCATGAATTTGTACCAGATCGGCCGAGGAAGCCACAAGAACTGTGCGGCCTATGCTACTCTTCAACAGCTGCCGAAGAAGAGGAGCTTCACGGATTTGCCTACGTCCATTCATGGGTGGAAGAGCAAGTTCGTGTTTGTGTCCATTGGTGAGAGTGGCACCGAGTTCCCCTCTCTCGGCCATACCGGGAGGTTCAATCTCCATGACCCGCCGAAGAGCTCTATCTTGGACGCTCAGGTGGAGGCTTTCCTGGAAGGGGGGATGAGGAGCGTGAAGGATTACGTTACTGAATACAAGATGACCGCCCTCGGCTTCTTCAGATACCACCTGTATGGAGATAAGGAGGATGACCTCCAACTCTGGCCGAGGATGACCACCACATTTGAAGAGGCCGACGGCCCGGATTTGGGCATC